TCAATTTTGAATAAATTCGCTTCAGTATTTACCGATTTATTGAAGATTTCGTATTTCTCTAAATTACCGTTATATTGGACGAGGGCGTGGTTATTGCCCGATTTTTAATATTTTTTTTGCCGTTTGGTATCATTTACCAGTTATACATACATACATATGTGGTCATAAGTGGGCGGGACTACGCCCATTTTTTAAAAATTTATAATGTTTTTATTTTCCGCCTGAAAATCATTGTAAACATTAGTTTTGAGCTTTGACAGCTGTGGTCCGTAGCTCGTCGTCTTAGTTGTGTTCGGGCTATTACTGTCTTGAAAATAATCAAGACAGTGATTGAGACAATTGGAAAATTATGCATGTATTAGTGAAAAAGTGTGCATGAAACAGAAAAATGGGCTACTGGGCTCAGTAGCCGACAGTCCGTAGCCAGTTGCCATACGTAATGCGAATTTCAGTATATGGTTGCCGATTTGCTATCAGTCGCCGTTAATTTTGGGTCCTAGACAACGGATCTGTACACCCTTTTTCTTGATCAGGTAATTTTCCAAAGATATTTTCTTTTTAAGTTTGCATTGCGAATGAAAAAAATCCAACTTTAACACGGAATATGTTACTCATACGCCATGTATGTGTATGTACCAGTACGCCTATGTACGATATGGCGTATGAGTAACATTATGTATTGCTTGCTCCTATTTCATAAAAAAAAATATTGCACATTTTAATTTCACCATTCAAAACATGAATATTTATTGAATATTGAAAGCTTGACATAGCAAACATATGTAGTCTCTAACGTTAGAGGGACTTTTTGGTTTTACATTGGAATTCTAATGTAGTAGTTCTTGAATCGAAAATCAGGTTAGAGAACTATGTTGGAATTCATCAGAGAATGATTCGAAAAACACTAGACATTTGAAACCAATTAGAATTGAACGCTAGAACACGATTAGACATCTAACCTTTTTCTCGATATCGTGAACTAATTCCCCATTTTGTAGAGAATACTATAATTCCCGACAGTTTCTCTAATCGTCTTCTAACCTTCTACCCTAGAGAAACGTATTAGACCTCGAATCGTTTTCCAATCGTTCTCTAACCTTAGTGTTTGTTGGGCAGATGCATAATCCACTTGAGATTTTGCCNCTTCTACCCTAGAGAAACGTATTAGACCTCGAATCGTTTTCCAATCGTTCCCTAACCTTAGTGTTTGTTGGGCAGATGCATAATCCACTTGAGATTTTGCGTACAGTGTTATTTAGTGAAATGGGGTATAGTCGTTTTTCTCGGTATGCAGCTACAGTTTACGGCTATACTCAATCCCGACTCTTGCGTCCTCGTTCCTGTTCAAAGTAGGTGCTTCTTCAAGCCGACGTCTGTCTTGGAGCAAGCGGCTCGCTATATAGACGTGTATTCGGTTGCGAAACCACCCACGTCCCAGCAATGGGTTGCGCGCTGGGTTTGGGACCCGCCACGTAAACACCTGTTTCAGTGAAAAAATTCAGCAAAGCCTCGGATGAGACCCCCCCGTTATGATGACGACAACGGCAAAGATTTAAAGGCTTACGATTTGAGGGCATGCACCGGTAATGTCCGCACCCTTAGTGGGGAAGGTGCCTCTGCCCGGAGGGATGATGTCCTCGTAAGGATAAAGACTGACATCACCGCCATCCCGGAAATGCGTTGGACGGGGCAAGGCAAGAAATGCAGCAAGGAGCGCAAATTCGGTGTTGGATTTGTAATGGGAGAGAGACTTCGTCGCCCAGTACTGTCATTCACAACAGGTGGACGAGCGTCTAGCCACAATTCGCATCAAAGCATGATTCTTCAACATCTCGCTCATCTGCGCCCATGCCCCGACGGAAGACACGGACGAGGCGTCCAAGGTTCTCTTCTAAGATATCAACTGGGGCTTATCGACTTCGCCGGGGCGAAAACATGGTAGTATGCAGTACTTTGAAGCATAAAAAGATCGATCCATCAAGCTACGTGGCTATCTCCGATCCGAAAAACGTGAAACCAAATCGATGAAGTTGCAACAGACGAAAGGCATGCTTCCAGTGTTTTAGACGTACGTACACTCCGATGCCCAAACATCGACTCGGACCACTATCTTTTTGCAGCTAAGATACGCACCCGGCTCTGTGCTGCAAAAAATGTGCTCCCAAAAACGCAAAGAAAGTTTAACGCCGAAAAGCTGCAATCACAACAGACAGCCAGTGCATTTGCTACTCGAGTACTCACACCTGCTCTCAGAGAGCACTCTTCAACCAACCGACATACGCGAGCAGTGCAACCACATTTCCCGCTCATTAAGTACCGCCGCCGTAGTAATCTGATTTCAGCGAGCCCGAAAGAACAACTGGCACGATAAGGAGTGTCAGGAAGCCATGTGGCCGCTTTAGGGAACTGAAGAGGGAAGCTAACAATAAGAAGGGAGTTCGAAGAGCTTGAAATACTGGCCGACAAGAAAAATGGCAGAGAGTGAGGCGACTTACTGAAGGTTTCAAGACCAGGGCGAACTCCCGCAATAAAAACAATGGCGACCTAGTTACCGATGTCCAGAACGTGCTTAAAATATGGATGGAACGCTTTTCCACCCTAGGGTAGCAGCACGGAAAGTTGAGATGACGAACCCGAGCCCCCAGTTGATGATGCACGCGCCTGAAAAACAACAAAGCTGCTGGAGCTGACTTCCTGCCAGCTGAGCTGTTCAAGTACGGCGCCGATGAGTTGATAAGGTGCATGCATAAATGCCCGACGACTGCAATTTAAGTGTGCTCTGCGCTATCCACAAGAAGGCGATCCGTCATACGCGCCAACCACCGAAGCATCAGCCTTCTAAGCATAGATTAAAAGGTCTTATCGCGTGTACTGTGTGGAAGACTGAAACCCACCGTCAACTGACTGATTGGACTCTCACCATCTATAGTAATTCTCGACTTCAAAGCCGCTTTCGACAGCACTAAAAAGAGTTGCCTATACGCCGCGAAATCTGAATTTGGTGTTCCGCCAAACTGATACGGCTATGTAAAATGACGTTGAGCAATACCACCAGCTCCATCAGAATTGGGAAAGATATTTCCTAGCCGTTTCCTATCAAACGGGTGTTTAGACAGGGCAACTCCCTTTCATGTGATTTCTTTAATCTGATGTTGGAGAAGATAATAAGAGCTGCAGAACTGAACCGCTCAGGAACAATTTATTATAAGAGCGCGCAACTTCTGCCGTATGCCGATGACATACAACAAATCTGTTCTGCCTTTTCCAAGTTGGATAAAGAAGCAAAGCGTATGGGTCTGCTGGTAAACGAGGACGAGACGAAGTATCTCTTGTCATCAAACAAACAGCCAGCCATTCTTCTGCGCCATGCACCAGCGCGGACATGATGAGTGACTTACTCCCCTATTCTGAATTTCCATACGATAGACGATAAACGCGTTTGCAAGCATAAGAGGTCTACTTGAATAGGTCTTCTCCACAACTTTAAGAGCTGCTACCATTCGGTAGGGTCAAGATGTTCCTTCAATAATTTGAGCACGTACATCGGTCACTAGCTCGACATAGTTGTTCCTAAGTAGTTCGCCCTCTTTTAAAATTTTCGGGGGTGTTTCCTGACGGCCGGTTTTCCTGCGCCCGATCACAGAATCCATCGTGGTCTGATTTTTCGTGAAATCTACGAAATGCGATCGCTGAATCCGAATTGCTAGGAACGTGTGTATTCAAAGTATTGTTCTTTCGGGCTCGCATATGTGGGTTTGTTGAAGAGTATTGTCTGAGATTCGAGTGACGAATACTTTAGGTATTTGTTTTGACCACAGCTTTTCGACACTAAGCTTTCCTTGCACCTTTGGGCGCACATTTTTTGCATCACAGAGGCGGGCGTCTAAAACACTGGAAGCGTGCCGTTTTCTCTCGCAACATGATCGATTTGGTTTCTGGTCTGGAGACAGCCACGTAGCAATGTTTCGGGCCCCGGCGAAGACAATCAGCCTCAGTCCGTTATCGGACGTTTCGTAATGGAGGCTGAATTTCGGACGGTGTGGCAAAAAATCCCTTCCTTGCCCACCCTGACATGAACTCACCAAGTACGACGGGGGCAGCGGTCATACGTGCACTCATAAAAAGATCCTAGGATGCTTCATCCATTCTTCAGTCGGGGCGTGGGCGCAAATGAGCGAGATGTTGAAGAGCCTCGCTTTGATTCGGATTGCGGTGAACGACAGTACTCGGCGACGGAGTCTCTCTCCCACCACAAATCCAACAACGAATTTGCGCTCTTTTACAAGGCAGCTGTAGTAGACGTCGCAAGGCCCCAGGCATTGTCTTGTGAATACACTCAAGATTTCGCCTTATTTAAAGATTTATAATGTTCAAAGTAAAATCATAATTTAAAATATCAACTGAACATTAATGAAAAGGCTTTTAATCAAATAATACGCTTTAAAAAGATGCTTGATATACCATTGGTTTTTGGGTTTTTATTAAATAATGTACACTAGAATATTTTTGTTAATACAATACAATAGCTGTATTCAGTTTTTTTTTACCGATTTTCCGGGACCATTTTGAATAGAATGTATATGCCCCTATTTTTGTAATAGTTTATTTTCTTTATGTGTAAATGTGTTTTCCCTCAAACATTTCCGTTTCGTTTTTATACTGTTCATTTTGTAAATATTTTTGCTGTTTTTACAGCTGTAATCAATGCACACATCATTAATTTGCAATCAGGTATTCTACCAATGCATCAAAAATATATATGTATGTATTTGATATGCTTATAACTATATATTTATACATATGTACATATAGTTATTTGGCAAAGGACCATTTCGCTCAAATTTTATACATATGTACATATTGAGCAATGTATGTATATCAGATGCACATATGAAACATTCTAGTTTTCGTTGGTTGGTTACATGGTAAGTAAACGTAATTAATTACACAAATTCCAATGTACATGATTACGTATGTATGTATGTTATAGGTTTTGTTAAAAGTCGTATTAACTTTTGAAGTGCAGAAAACAGAAGTTGTATTGATACATAGTATGAATTAAAAAAAAAATCATGGTGATATATTATGATTTTTGTCTTTTAGCACGAAAGAACGATATTGGGATAGCAACAAAGGTATCTTCAGCGGCGACCATGGTCCTGTTTTTACCACTCGGCATCTCCATTGGATTTTTGAAAAACGTAGTCTTTGCCACCGATGTTCATAATTCCATCCTTAAGGTAAAATTTCCACTTGTTGCGTGAACGTGTAATCTGGTTAAAATAAGTAGATAAAAAGAAACTATTATATTCGTAGAACACAAATACATATGTATATGTATATAAGTATGTACATATGCGAGGGTAACCCCGAGAGTACCGAAACGATTTTTAGACGGCGTTCTCACAACATTTGTGTCTACGTAACCGGAGCGACCCAGATTTATATTTGGCCAAGGACTGCCACTCCAGCAATCGCTCCCCAAAAACTCTGGATTTTTGCATGTCACACTTGAAATTTAGTTGGGGTAAATAACATTGACAGTTGAAAATTTCGCCAAGCAGTTTCGATTTAACAGCATCTCAACGAAATCAATTTTGTGAAAAAATGGCAATTTCTCGTGTAATGATTTTTACGACCTTAAGTGCGACTTAATTCAAAAGCAAAGCTGGCACGGCTTCATTCGGCTTTTGATAAAAAAGCACCATCAAAAACCTTTGTTTATGAGCGGTTTACAGAATTTAAACGTGGTCGCGTCATTCTCAGTGATAAAATACCGTGAAGGTCGTCCATGTTTATATGCTTATAACATGTACATATAATATGTACATACGTATGTATGTATAAGAAAATTCAACGTTTCTTTAATGGAAAAATCTTGCCGAAAAATCTAAAATCGACTAGTTTTTTTATTGAAAAAGTAGAAAGTAAACGTGTGTCGATTAAGTGAAATCGCCTATTCCTTAAACTACTTTCCCCAATCGAATAATAATAGCTCTAATAGAGGGATCCTTGCACATTGGCAAAAGACAAATATAAACGATTTTGCATGAGCATTTGGGAATGAAGAAAGTCTGCAGTCATTGGATTTGACACAGTTTCTTCGAACCAGAAATTGTATTTGGCTTAGAACCAATTTCGTCGAAACCAAAGGTGTCGCTCTCTCAGTAATTCGCGAATTACCCCGTTCCTACGACGCATTCGTAATTCGTTACTTATTTTATTTTTACTCTTTGCTGTGAATACCCGATAATAATATTAATTCCAGGTAATACAGGAAAAGTTGTTTTGGTCATAAATAAACTGCTCCTCATGGAGGTTGAACTGTTCCTCTGAATACAATCTGGTCTTCTCCACCATTCTTGAGGTGTTCAGCAACCCCCTTTATATAATATATATTTTTTCAACGATTTCTTTTTTACGGAATAACATACAAATGATGTATCGCCCATTACATAATTCGAAGGGTAATCGGGACGCCAGTTACCAATGAGACAGCGAATTACGTGCCGCATGGACGTACTTTATAGATCTCAAAGGCGAACATTTTGGAAAGCAATGGAGCGTTTTTTTTTTAATAAAATGTGTATTTTTTCTAGAAACTTTTAGTGTTACCCTCGTAGGTACACACATATCGTCACCTAAGGGTGAAAAGGTGCCAAGCCCATTTTTTTCAATTGTTCAGGAGAGACAAAAATCGATGTAGTTTCGTATTACCTGCCATTCTNTACCAATGAGACAGCGAATTACGTGCCGCATGGACGTACTTTATAGATCTTAAAGGCGAACGTTTTGGAAAACAATGGAGCGGTTTTTTTTTTTTTTTAATAAAATGTGTATTTTTTCTAGAAACTTTTAGTGTTAACCTCGTAGGTACACACATATCGTCACCTAAGGGTGAAAAGGTGCCAAGCCCATTTTTTTCAATTGTTCAGGAGAGACAAAAATCAATGTAGTTTCGTATTACCTGCCATTCAGCATCAAAAACTAGATTTTGAAAAAAATGGACTTAGCACCTTTTTACTTTATAGGTAGCGATATGTATTTCATGTAACCGTTACCTTATCATACTGGCAAACGATGACATTATCCGTTTCGAATACATCGCTGGCATCCTCGTCAGTTACATCGTCATCACTGTTGAGGGGCTCTTCTTCGGCACCACCATCATTTTCAGCATCCTCGTCATCGTCTTTATCTAGATCGTCATCATCATCATTGTCCATATTATCATCACTCTCCTCGCTTTCGTCCTCATCTGAAGTATCTACTGCACCGTCAAGCTGTTTTGAAGCGTTGAAATTTTCTAAAAAATAGTAAAAAGTATTGCATAAAGTTAAGGTTAGCATAAATCTTAAATTGACAATTGCTTGAAATCGCAGTTAGGCTATAAGTAATCACCTTCAATTTCATTTGTACTTACTTTGCATGTTGCTATTAATAAGCGCCGCATTCACGTGCTGCTGTAGCACCGAAGAAGCCAACGTTGTTGGCAATGACATGATAGATGAAATTAAATGAGCGGTCAATATCTGTGTTAGCTGATTATCTTGCAGCGCCGACGCTGGAACGTGTATGGTGAGCACGCGAGATTCCGTATTCATGGAGCCAGTTTGAGCGGGTAATGTTATCTAAATGGAGGGGGGAAACAGTAACACATACATATGTATGTACATAATAGCAAGTTTACTGTGATTCGCATCACTCGTCATGTACTTACATTTACAGGCATAATACGATTGGGATCGAGTGTGGCAACGATCGGTATGGTTGAATTTGTTGGCTGTTGCTGCGAGCTGCCAGCAGCACCACCAATTCCTGACGATGATGCCACCGGCCCAATACCGTGTGACGCGCCGCCAATCACATTTGATTTTTGTAAGTTATTAGCCACCGCACCACTATGTGAAGTCGTTGACTTTCCTATCTCCTGCTTGACGCCACCATTCATTGCGGCCGAACTATTCGCAGCAGCCGATGTGGTTGGACCACCCGAGGCACCAGTGGTCGTTATTGAATTACCACCACCATTGGTCACATTAGTTTGCAGTTGTGCAATATTTGGCTTCATATCGCCGGAGGCATTTGAAGTGACGGCTCCACTATTATTGCTATTTTGTTGTGCTGCGGCAGCGGCAGCAGCAGCGGCTGCCTTTTTAGCTTTAGCGGCAGCAGCCTATAAAAATATTATTTTAGAAAATTATATGTAGGTATTTTTTTTTTTTTTGGAATTCGGGATAGTAAAAAAACGCTAATAGTTGAGCATGAAACAAGGAGAAAATTTTGTTGGGGGAATTTTTAGAATTTAGACATGTAAGAAAAAGGTTAAGTAGGAAATACACATGTATGATGATAGTGCATTTGTTTAGATTAGTTCACTAAAATTAGGAATGTTATCGAATAGTTTGGAACTTAGAATCGTGTTTACTACATTCTATACACATACATATGTATACAACAGCAATAAATTATAGACTCATTTACCTTTGAGGGCTACGTAAGTGTATATTACATCAATGGATCAGTTTTCGTGGTATCAATGAAGTGTTGCAAATATTATGTTTTTGTTGTCATTGCAGTTTATGCGTTGCATTTTTTCGTAGAAGTAAGTTTATTTGCGATAAAACATGAAAACAGCGAAATGTATGTGGATATAAGTTGACGTTGTTGGTAAATAATGAAGTTTATACATATACATACATACATACATATTATTTTAGTCTATCAAATTATAATCGATGTTTGTAAAATAGCGTAGAAGTGGTGGTAAATAGCAGCAAATATCATTATTAAAAATACCCTACAATACCATTTTACTATATTGGTCAGAAAAAAATTCATGTTTCTGATAAGAGTACATCATTATTACTATCATTTGGTACTGCAAGTTTATTGGAACTTTTTATTGGCTTTTATAATTGAGGGTTTTGTGTTTTATGGATAAATGTATGTGGGGTGAGATTTACCCCACGTTTTATAAATGGAGATTTGTTTCACATTGTACTATTAACAGTTTGCTATGCTATTGTTATGACCTATTGAATGCGTGACAACGACGAAGCAAGGCTTACATTCCGTGTCAAAAATTTAGACGCAGTAGTTAAAGCAATTGTTATGCGATAACAAAGTCATATTAAGGCCCTGTCAAAATCGAATTAGCCAACCGCTCAGCATTGCCGCCACTTTATCTCGGTAAGTTTAATACAAATTTTATGTATGGACAAGAGCAGTTTTTGACTGCTAGACGACGCTGACGCTTTTATTTAAATGAAATTATTAATGACTATTTTTGCAACGTAATGACACGATAATTTTTGAATTCCCAACTTTGTCACTAGAATTTTTTCCACTTACATGCCGATTCTGCTTGTTATCGAACATTTTGACACTGGAAAATTTTGTTACAAAAAAATAACACCATTTCTTGTAACCGCAATTCTAAGTATTTTCGTAACAACTTAATCTATTCAGCAATTCAGCTATGAAGTTTTGTATAAGTTCTGGTGTTGCATACTTCACGGGGCAATATTTTAGTTACCTGCTTATGAGAAATGGTAACAAAATTTATCAGTGCGCAGAAAGCGAAAAGGGTTTAAAAATTATCAGGAACTTTATTTAACGGTAACAAAATGTTAATGCCTAGTTTAAATCCGGCATTACAAAACACTATCAACTATGTTTGCTATAATTGCCCTGTAAATTAAATGATATAAACAAATAACCAGTTATACTTAATTTATATGCATACATACATATACACAACTGAAAACTTCGTATTAAAAAAAGCAACACAAATAACCTTACCTTTGGGTTGTTGGCCACAATTGGTGGTGGCTGTGGCTCTGGTGGTTCAGGATTGATCTCCACCGCTTTGCTCGCCATTAATTTTGCCCGCCAGTTTTGCTTCATTTCTTGTAGAACCTGTTCGTCGACACCCTCATCGAGAAAGGCGTCTCGCACGTTAGCGATTACATCTTCAATGACAGCGTAGTATACTTTTAGCTAAAAACAAATGAATAAATACAGAAATGAAAAAGAATTAAAAAAATTGTACATATGTACATTAGACTGCATCACCAAAAAAAGTTGCGATTTTTCCGACGGGATTAGAAAATTTATTATGTTTTATTATCTGAGGGAACTTTTTTAAGAAAGTTTTTTAACAAACTATTTTTATTCATAAAAAACTTCATTTTTGGAGGTATTTTCAGATCGGTCCAGCTCACGTAAATCTTAATATTTTTCCGAAATATTTTGGCGGACGTCTTACAATATAATAAATTTTATAATTCCAATGGAAACACAGTACCGATTTTTTTTTTTGTATGGGGAGTGAAGTAGTCTAATGTGCATACATACAGTGGGAAACAGAAATTTGTATACGGTGATTTTTGTTAAATATTTGCTAGGTTTTTAAAGCTAATTTTTGTTTGCTGTTTTTTCATAAAAATATGGTTCATGCTTAGCTCTGATCAGGCGCACTAAATCGTTTATCTAGCTCAGGCCAGATGTGTTTTGCTATCCTGCACTTGGGCTCCGCAGACCATCATGTATTTGCCCGTTCGATGAAGTTATTCTACAGCCAGAGTTTACAAGAAGATAGCGGAATGCCTGCATTAGGAGCGGTACTGATCGCAGACAGTAGGGTTCCTTTCCGAGCCAGCTCGTCTGCAACACAGTTGCCCGGTATGTTCGTGATGCCGTAAAATAGAATGAGACGCACCACCGCTGTGTACATCCAGTTCACAATGTGAGGCTTCAAGCCCCATTTTTTCCTATTGCTGATTTACAGGCATATAGGGCAGTTATAGCCTTTTTGCAACGCTCTTCTATATTGCGCCGCCAAGTTAGCTTTTTGTCCACTATAACGCCCAAATACTTCAGCCGGGCAGTTTTAATTTTCTTTGATTGACACTAAGGCCAGATGCCTTGAACCTTATTCCACTACATTTTTTTAAATAATTTTTTGGAATAATCATATTTTTGATATCTCTTTTAAAAAAATCCTGACGTCAGAGTGGAAAATTAAAAACGCAGCATTAATGCTAAAAGGAAACTTTTTTGCCCGGCGGTTTGAAATTAATTTTTAAGAATGAAACGGATGGACCGTAGAGGCAAAACGATAAGGAATCTCTATCTTTTGGTGGTATTACCGACTTCCGGTTTCGACCGAAAATGGGTTAAACTGACCGGAAGTCCATTTTTTCATGAGATATACAGTCAGTCAATAAAGTTTAGGTACAGCGAATTTTTTACAATACGGGCAACTATTTTTTAATATTTTATTTTTCGATAATTTTTTATAAAAATATGGTTAACTCTACAACAAAAAACCAAAAAATTAGAGTTCCAAACCTTGTGCCAAATTAAAGAAAATTTTGCAAAATTTCATTCAAATATTGCACTTTTTATTTACGCTGTCTAGAAAGAGTTGAGCTGGGACTT